TCTCTTATATCTTTTAAGTGATCCATGGTTTTGTTTGTTGTGTTGTCCCTTCATTGTGTACACAGTCTGACAGGCCCTACTGTATGTTACTGTATGTAGCCCTCAATAATTGATGAAGGGAACATAAATGGATAGTTTCACCTGCAGGGGGCGACCTGAGCCCATGTTGGCATGGGCGTTGAGTCTCCTCTCCTCTCCTCTCCTCCCTGTTTTCCAGCGATGCTGCAGACTGTATCCTCTTCATCACGGCTCAACCTGGATGTGTCCCTGCTGCTTCTCCTCTTCACTGTCGAGCTCTTCTCCAGCGGATTACCTGAAACTGAACGGTAATAATCTGCATTCCACAGCGGGGACGGAGGCTCGTTTTCTGTCTCTATCCCTCTCTATCACCATCTCAGATCAGCGGCAGTGATCATTGGATTTATTGACACTGCTGCATCTGCTGGAGAGACTGCGGATGATCCTCTGGTCGGAGGTGTATTTTTTTATTTACGTTGTTATTTTCAAGTCATTGGCTAATTGTGTCCAGTTGTGCAAATTCTGATGTAGCTGTTGCATGAAGTCAACCTGTAAAAGGTAACCTCCCTATAGGTGTACCCACCTCAGTGTGTGTGTGTGTGTGCGTAGTGGGGTCAGACCCTGGAGTGTGTGTTCTTTCACCTCTATTTAATGTTTGTTTTTCAGTGTCTGTCCTAGAAGCAGCAGAGCCTCCTCGTTAATTCCTCTTTGGGGATCATGTGTGTAGATGCACTTTATATTTAGAAGCTGTAAAATGAGGAACATGAGCTGAATGAACATCAGTAACAGTGAACTGACAGATTTCTGCTGGGGTGGTTTTAGTGACCCCAGTTATCCAAAAGGCCTCATTTTTGTTACATTATGTAAGATGTGACAGAAGTACGGAGGACCACTGGGGCCTCAGTCATGTATCGCTGAAAGCTTGGTGATTATAATGAATGGTGTTGCTATTACATACTGGTGCCTTTGCATAGGAAAATTTTACATTTGTATGTCACATTTTTCTAGCATGTATGCTAATTTTGCACCAAGTTTGCATTCACTGTAGAGCCACACACTTTCACTGCTGTTCCAATTTGCTTAAGTCACAACAACAGATCTTCTGTGAGCTTTGGTTGGTTACACAAAGAAGTCAGGGCCACTGAAGCATTAAAATCAGAGGGAGACCGATGCCTCCATTTTCATTCTTCCTCAATATTTCATGAGGATTCCAGCTTAAGCATCAAGTGAAGCTTGGTGGACAAATGAAGGCCTTGGTCTGGGTTCTGCTTCAGATACAAAAAGCTGAGCTTCAACTAAGTCGCTTGAGCTCACACACTCACACAAGCCCTCGTGCAAGGATGCACAGATTTCATAAGAGGCCCTGATGAAGGTCTCGCCATCATGCATGCTGCATATCAGGAGGCAGGTGGCGGGGTGAGTTGCTGAACAATGGGGGGATGGGGGAACATGCTCAGGGAAGCATGTTGTTGGGGCGAGCATACATTTCCTCAATCTCCCTTGTGCCATGATGGTGTCATTATCAGCTGTGGCAGCAGCAGGAATAGCATAAGGAAAACAGCCAGGGAACGTAAATTAAGAAGGAAAGAAGCAAAGGGATGGAAGTGACAGGGCCAATGCAGGAATGAGCCTAGCACACTGACATGTACAGTATGTGCTGTGTGGGTGGAAATGGGAAATGGGGTGGTAAAGGAGGTGAAGAATATCACTTCAGTCACTCAGGGTACTTGCACTGCACTTTTCCAGTCAGTGAGACTAGCATCCTGCCCCGACTGACGTTCAGCTCTCCGGAGATTTGTGAAGAGAAAGAGGTTGAAATAAATTAAAATGTTTAATTATCTCTGCAATGCTTTTATTTCATCCAGGATGGGAGAGTGTGAAGCAGAAAATTATAAAATCCACAGTGAGAACAATGTGAACTTAAGGCACTGAAGTAGGTCAGGAAAGGTAAAAGGTTTAGGTGTAATTGTTTTTAGATTTCTGAGAGACGTTAGATGTTAGCATTAGTTTATCTTTCAGTTGTGTTTTTTGTCATTTGTGGTGCCAGATATATGGACTCTCTGTCCCCCAGTTGTTTCTTATACTTCAGATATTCTTATCTTCCATACTCTTAAAGTAGGAAAGCAAAAAAACTTCCAACTAGTGAGCCATATACTTCATGTCACCCCTTTTTTGATGAGTGTCATATGATGTACAGTACTGTTGTGTCTGTACGGTGGTCTGCACTGCATTGATTTTGAGTTGCAAATCAATCTAAGGGCTGCAGCGCAAACAATCCTGTTAGCAGATTGAAGCTTCTCCCTTGAAACAAGACTTCATTTATCCAATTCCCAATCTCTTGTCATGCTTGTCAGGCTCCATGATGAATGTATGAATCTTTATCAGAGTTTCATCAGATGTTTGGTTACCCAGAGGGAGTTTGTGGCTTTATGTAGTTGAACAGTAACCATAAAGTGTTGTTGAGAGGTGGCGTAGAGGCAGGTGTAAGGGAATCTGATTCAGTGGTCTCTGCAGTGCAGGTGCTGAGACAGCATTTCATGTAGTGTGTTAGCCTATACTTCAAACAGACAATGCAGTCTTTGGACCCTCTCTGCATTTGTTGTGTATTGAAAAGTGTCCGTCCAGAAATACATAAAGAAAGAAAACATAGTATGTATGTTTTGTAGCTAATCGTATTTCCCCTCCTTGTTCTAAACATGCAGCAAACTCTATTATCACACAGCAGCACATTTGTTTCATAAGAAGGGAAATGAGATGCTACTTCCTGCTGTGTAAGTGAATTTAAAACATAAATGGGGAGCAAAGAGATGAGTTGGAGCTGTAGTCAGTTAATCTGAGTCTGAGTTTTACAAGGGCAAACAGAGATTTCACCAGTATTGCACTGTTGTCGTCCCAAGATGCCCCAAGATAGGTTTGTGTTTCACTCTTTCATTTTCAGTCCTGTTCACATCCTTTTTAGCAACAAGTAGCACTGTATTCCTAACCTAATATGATATTATCTAGTAAAATATCTTTCTTCTGTTTGTATGACTTTGTGGCTCAATTATGTAAACTTCAGTGGAAGAAAATGATAATGACATCCAGTGACAGCAGGGGTTCTTCTTTTTTTACTTACTTTACGTTAATTTATGACACCTAGCTGAACTTGACAATCAGAGCAAAATAATGGCAAGAATATGGCAAGGTGGGAACTTAATGTGGAGGTGCTTTTGTGAGAAAGAATTGCTGCTTGAGACCAGAGGGTCTTTTAAAGCTCTCTGTACTGTAGAGTCCTCTCAGGAAATAGGTCAGTTGCAGACATCCTTTATTATTTGCTTTAGGCTGAAGACATGAAGGGAAACAGGTCTCCTCCCAATTACAGTAGAGCCTAAATCATAGACGCTGAATAGTAGAACAAGTGAACATACCTACTGGCTGCTAATAATCACCAGGTTGGTATAGCAATTATTAAATGCTGCTCTTTTAATTAGTAAGCAGCAACCATACCATGGTACAATGAGCACAAAAACCTAAATTTAATTGGATAGTCTTAAGCTTGATAACATCCTCGATAATGATCTCAGCAGTCCCACATGATACTGAAGTATTTTTTCCACGCTTAGAGCTACACATCAGTATAGTTTTGTCTTTCCTCGTGACTTCAGGTGTGCAGAGATCACTTGATTTGGGGTTAATAGTGCATTCTGTTTGCAGTCTTTAAATTATTAATGTAAATTCAAATAAAATTCAAATACAGGTAAGGTAAGTGTATTGGAAAGAATGCGATTGATACGTATCATGATACTGGGGTTGCAACTTAATATATTGCAATACTGTAAGCGAGGTGATATATTGTAAATTTGTCAGTGGGATCTGCATTTGTATTTATCAAAGTCCCTGTACCATCCCTAGTAGTACTCCTATTGCTGCTGCTCCTAGTATATTTTTGTATGTAAACACTATAAATGTGAACCCATTCATAACTAATGTAGGAGCAAACAGACTACATGGCCACCTGTTTACCGTACAGCACAGCATGTTGTTGTCATGCCACAACCACACTGCTACTCTTCAGGGATAACAAAAAGCTGCTTCTTTTCATGTCAAACAGTGACGTGCTATTGTATCATTCATTATGGACTGTTGACTGGGCCTATATGTTCTGGGCTTGGTAAAGTTTCATGTATTTCAGCTGTGAATGGAAAACTAAGCAATGACTGATGCAGAGGGAAAATGCTAAGGATTACAGAAAATTACAGTTGCCGCAGAATGTAAATGATCTTGTTCGGACAAAGATGTTTGTGTTATGACACCATTCACAGTTTTAAGGAGACAATCTCAGAAAAGCATAAAACAACTTAATGGAATTTCCTTTTTTAATTCAACTTCAGAAGCTTGGCTTTTGAAAGAGCATGGCACAGCAGAGAAGATAATGATTCTGTGCTTTTCCCAGGGTTTCTCCTAAAGATTCTGGCCATCCTGTAATAATAGTTTATTAAATGCTCTGAAACAAAATTTAATTAATTACATTAATCTAATCATAGCATGTTTCATGTCTAAAACAAATGACTTCATCAATTCATCAGATTTACAAGAGTTTACACCTTTTAAATACTTTCTTGTCAAGTCATCTATCATTTTCTTATCTTTTCTTTTTATAAAGGATAAGGACCCCAAACGTCATGAAGATCCATCCTCCAAATTAGACATGATATTCAACATTCTGATTACTGGCATACTAGAAGGAAATGTGAAAATCAATTCCAGTCCCCTGCTGTGCCACTAAGACTCTTTGATGGGTAGGCAGACCTTTTTGTAATTGATGCCATGGATGATTGATTTTTAAAGTGCTCTTGAGGGCGCTGTAAACTCAGAGCTGTTTCCAAAATGTGTGAGCGAGGAGAGCCCTTCGGTGAGGGAGAGTTAAGGAACAACAATCAGCAGGGTGGAGTGCTGGCTGATGGTGATGCAAACGCCAATGATATCCGAACAGAGGATGGAGGGAGGACGGGAGACACCGTCACTCTGTCGGGACTGATGACTGAAACAGCAGAGCAGGACAAAGTCATCATCTGGGGTACAGACTCCCAGTGTGACGACCCAGATCTAGCTGAGTTTGAGATGCTGGAGTGTCAGGAGATGGAGGCCTACCTGGTTGAGGATGGAGAGGACTTTGTCGGGCTTGCAGACAGGAAGGAACTTCAAGAACAGCCTTCATCATTTGGTAAAGCCACAGTAGAACAGGCAACAGATAATAAGAGCAGAGAAGAGAGAATGTCTATTCTGCATGGTGCAAGTGAGCAGGAAACCAGTGCCTCACATGAGAGCAGAGAGGCATCCAGGACTGAGTTAAGCTCAGAAACGGATGTCTTTGTGACCTGTCTGTCCACTATTTCAAGTATGGACACTGCTATAGACACTGCGGGCAGGACCCAGACAACAGAGTCCTGGCACCTTGCCTCTGGTCCTTACTCAACCATCTCAGAGGATCTGACTTTGGTTTCCCAGTCCTGCAACAGAGCTGATCATCCTTCCATCTCTGGAAAAAGCACAATACACCAGAAAGATGTGGACATGAATTTGAATTCATCAGTTCACTCAGAGGATGTGGTATCAAAGGCGCAAGTGAACAATGGAGTTGTTCCATTTAAGGATGGCATTGATGAGTGCAGGAAGAACAATAACCAGGGAAATAAAGCAGGGAATACCATTTCAGAGCAGGACTGTGATCAAGGGAGAAGTACTGAGCACAAGGGTGTACCCACTGCAAAAATATCATATGAAGAAAGCAACACTAAAATGGATAAAAGCACACAAGCTGATGAGGCCCCTGATGTGAACTACAGCCCACACAAAACAGGTACAAAAGGGACTCAGTCATCAATTGAATCCAGTGCCATAAAGAAACAAGGATCATTTGATAACACACTGAAAAAACAAAACTCGTTTGACAAGAGTTTTAAAAAGCAGCCATCATTTGAGAACACCTTAAGAAAGCAGGGCTCTTTTGAGAACACCGTCACCTCCAGCTCTTCAAGTCTGGAGAGGCGGAAGCCATGGGGAAGCCCTAGTCGACCAGCAACTCCTTCTTCCCCTAAAACTACCTCCTGTTCCCCCAAGAGAAGACCGCCTGGTTCTCCAGCGAAGGTCCAGGGCATCAGGGCACTGAGCTTGGAGCGCAGCCAGTCCCCTCAGAGAGGTTTAAGTCAAACAGTCAAAATGCCAGGTAAGACAAGTTTGAGCAGTGGCATCCCCAAACCTGTAATTCCTCAGCAGAAAGAGCCTGAACCCAGGAGGTCTTCTCCTCCCCAGAAACCTAAAAATGTCCGACCAAAAATCATCACCTATGTGCGAAAGAACCCTCAAACAAAAGCACAAGGTACAGATGCCCCACTCGAGGCCTCCACACTCCCAGTAAGACTATCTTCTTACTCCAGTCCGCCAGCTCACAAAGACCTAAAGGTTGGTCCTCAGCCTAAATCCACAACGGCACTATGCTCCTCCAACCTGCTGTTTGAGAAATATCGACAGGAGATGCAGAAAGCAGGGTACTGTCCACCAGGCATGGCTGCGTCTGGTGTGAAACCTCCAAGCAGCACCATCCCTCAAAGGCTGAGTGGGAAGTCGGACAGTTTTCATGAGGATATGCCTGAGAAATATCACCTAGAGGTGAGAAATTGACTTTTGATTTGATATACTAACATTTAGAACTGCAAGGATTAGTAGATTGATTATTAATTTATTAAGTTAATCAATCAATCAATTAAAACTATTTTGATGAAATCATCATGGCAAATGATATGAAAAAGAAGTTACTTATTGTGCTTTAAAAAAACTGTCAAACAGTTGAAATATTTGTGGTGATGACAGTGATTAACTGTTTTGGTAATCTCCCTCACCAGCATGTTTCCCAGGAGGGTGGCAGTGTCTACCGCTCACCCAGAGCTCTAAGGCCTCAGCTGGGGTTAGGAGCAGTCACCAGGCAGCCTGCAGCAAGGACAAGAGTTCAGCAGACAGGTCAAAGGTCAGCCCCGGCCCCAAGCCATTCTGCTCAGGCAGCTGGAGTATCCACACAAAGCTATCAGGACCCTGCAGGTGAGATGTTGATCTGCTAACATATTCAGTTCAAAGTGAAATTGTACTGAAATTTTAGTCAAAGCGGCGTCAGCTGAACTGTTTAGTTTATGCTTGCTGAACTGTTTAGTTCAGCTAAGAGAACACAAGAGGATAGATGAAATGGTGTATACTTATGTGCTTATTTTGTAAACCATATAGACCATTGTGGGAAAGACCATTTTATGAGAGCTTTCTCACCTGTCTGCATACTTTGCTATTCTGTAAGCATCCCATCCCCTTTGTTGCCGAGCTGCAGAGAAATTACCTTTTTATGCTTGCTGAATGATTTACCAATTTTTTCATGCTTATGGATGAGGCTTGGCTTTTGGCACCTAAACTCTTTGAAGTGCAGAGCAATTCATAGCAATGTAACTCACACATCCCAACAACTTGCACTGCACTACCTGCTCACATTATAAGTCAGAATCTAGTCAGCCTCCACATATTTATGTGCAGTAAAAAGAGTATTCATGTCACCNNNNGGTGACATGAATACTCTTTTTACTCATCAGAGTGACTCTGTTTTTTCTGAAAATGCCAGCAGTGTCTTAGTAGTGTAATTAGTGGTATATGTTGTTGTATTAGTTCAGGGGTAGGCAACCTGCAGCTCCAAAGTCACTTCAACCCCTCTCCCATTGCTCCCTGTGGCTTTGACAAAAAGTTATATGGAAATGAAGAATAAAACAGAATTCCATTAGCTACAATTGCAAATTGTAATCGTTCATGGAATCTAGTTCAAAGATTAGATTTTATAAGATCATATTTCTTTTTTACTCTCATCTCATTATCTCTTATCATTTATTTACAGGTTAAGCATGAGAATGTAACATAGAAACAGAAAGGCAGTGGGCTTTATCTCATTAGGTCTTGGACTTTCACCCACTGCTCCTGTATGATTGCATATTTTTCCCATCTACCTACAGGAGAGCAAAAGAGGTCAGGCGAAAGAGGTCCAGAAACCAACCCCAAGAGCCTCCTGCTCAAACAGGGCCAGTCCGGTCTCCGTCCTCCAGGCTTCTCCGCCCTGCCAGCTGCCCGTCTGGCTGCCTTTGGCTTCGTCCGGAGTTCCAGTGTCTCGTCTGTGTCCAGCAACCAATCTAACGACAGCAGTCACAGTGATCCCTGCCGACCTTCTCAGCGTGAGTCACTCTATCACCACACATTTAATATGAATTAGGGTTATACCGTTTTTATTTTAGCTTAAAATACTGAAAAGAGTCCCAGACAAAATTATTTCAGACATCAGACAGACAGTGCTCTGTCTGATTAAAAGGATATTCCACATGTATGTTTTATCACCACTACATCTCCTTATTAGTTCACCAGTAGTTGTGGTTGCCCCTGCTATCCTCAGTTACTATAGTAACAGCCACTATCTTCCTTTCATTTTTCATTCATTTATCACAAGTAGGCGCTGAAGGCTGCAGCACCACAGGGGCTTCGATGAAGAAATCTTTAAGTCGCTCTCCTCCCTCTGCTCTCTCTCCTCAGCCTGCATACTGCAGCATTTTGTCTGGATCAGATCCTGGTGCCCAGTCCGACGCCACCTTTCATAAGCTTCTTGCTGCCTTCATTCACAGAAATCAATGCTAGTAAAATTCCTTTGAAAAGCTCATTATCTCTGCGTGGAATAGAGATGAGAAATGTGTCAGAACAAGCTGAGAAGTTGTCAGATAAGACTAATGTATTACAGAGAAAGTATTTATAAGGAGTGTATATGTGTTCTGTTCCAGCATGGAGCTACTGCAGATTCATTTTTCCATAGTGCTGACTCACACCAACCATTGTCTGAAAAATGCTTAGACATACTGTAAAAAAAATCCTGTTTCCCTTCCTGCTTTTTTACATTTATCCCATGGTCCTGTTTGATTGAGTCACAAATATGAAACCTTAAACAGCTGGACTGAAAAAATCTTTACTTTTTTGGCAGTCTTTTTTACCATAAATATAAATTGATCACAAGCAGATCAAATTAATTCAAACCCATCAAAATGTCCAAGTATGTTGATTGCCAGAATCAATAATCTAATGGGTTACACATTACCATTTCTTCCGTATGCACAGATAAACATGTCTCTGTGGCATCTGTACTGGCTGTGTAGATATGAGGATGGCTTAATGCTGTCCTCGCTCAAGTGTCACCACATTTGCTCCAGTTTCAGACAGCTGACGGCTGCCTTTCCCTACTCCCCACTTTTATGTCTTATTCTGACCTGCTGGATTCAGACGCTGGTGTAGAAAACAGCTGTTGTCTCATGCAGGGTGCGCCCCCAACCTTAATCGCAGTAACCGCTTGTCAGCAGCAATCTCTTCTTGCCTATTTATAATCTCTGAAATGACAAAGTGGTGTCGGTGGCTGCGTTGTGTGTGTCGAAAAGAGAGAGTCAGGGTGGGATATGACAGGATAATCTGTGAGGCTGTTTTTACCCCGACACATCTGACAACCCCCTTTTCTTGCTTGCCTGTGGATCTCCTCAAACTTTCACTACAGTCAAGCCAGATAATGTTCCTTCTTTCCGCTACAGTGTCCTTCCTAAAAGGCTCCCATGTACACTTTGCTGGGTTATTTTGTACCATTTTTAACACTCATTCTTCAGAAAACAACTACAGCTCAAGATGATAATCTGCAGTCATGTAAGTCTGGTCTTGTCTTTTATTGTTATTGTTGTCTTTGTTAGCTCCTCTGTGCTGAGCTGTTGTTAAATTTATAAGCCAATTGCAAATGTGCTGTGTTCCTTCCAGGAAATAAGAAAATGTAATTGTGTTTGTGCCACAGAGAATATATGGGTGTCTACCAGGTAGGAAAACACTAGCTGTAGCTCAGACAGCATATACATGAGTGGCAGCTTGCATATCAGTGTTTTCCTTCAGGCTGTTGGCTCAGACATCGCTGCTCTATCAGTATGCCACCGTATGCCTCGAATGCAGCCACATTCACCGGGGATGCACTCCAGCAAAACATTGTGACTGGGAGTGAGTACACCCTCTCAGAGTAGAAGATTTTACAGTGACCATCAGGACGCTGGTAATTTATCCATCCAGTCAGTGGGAGCCTGTTAGGTGCACACAGTATGCTCATGTGTTACTTGGATGGCAAGATACAAGAGTTAGGTTCTGTGTTTGGAGCTACAGTGTGGTTGTTTGTTGTACTTCTTGAACAACAATATGTGTTCATATTAAAGCAATTACAATCGAGTAGTAGTAATAATTTAAGTTATTTATCAAGCAGAAATGCCAAACATTCATTGTTTCCTGATTCTCAAATTTGTAGATTTGCTTTCCTCTGTTTTCTATCGAGTGAATATCTTTAGATTTTGGTCAGACAAAACAACCAATTTTAATGTTGCCATGATCCCTATTTTCCGATATTTTATAGTCACGGTATTGCTACTACTAGTTACTATATACAGTACTTTATAATGCAATTTTATGCTTTGGGTACCAGTTTGAAGTGAAACTTCACAGCAGCACAAATCTCAGTGGCATGTTATAAATTCTAATCCTCTTTGCCTGTGAATCAATCCCATCTCTGTCTTGTCCTGCAGAAAAAAAAAAAAAACACCAGACAGTTTTTGACAGGACCCTGTGGTGACTGAAAGGCCCATTCTGTGTTTTAGTCTGTCTTCTCAAAAGGAGATCTGATAGAAAGAAAAGGTGTGTGAGGTGTAACAGTGCAGAGCAATTTCACTATCTCTGTACAGTATTCTGCCTTTTCATTATATGAATATATATTATATTTTCAAATATGAGTTCACATTGGTGTCCTACTGCAGTTTTACGTTTGGATAATAAAAAATAATTACTAATCTGACAAAGGGAAAACATAACAAATAACCAACGTTACTCCAAAGATATCTGAATCTGAATTTGTGTATTTCCAATATTTGCACAGTTCAGACAAATTAATTGAGAAATTCTAATTTAGATAAAGAGAAATTATTCAGAAGTAGAGGATATAAGAGTACATTATGTAGACTCATAAAGATATTTTGAACCTGTCTGTTCTCACTTCTTGTGAATTAGTCACCAGCAGAGTAGAGTCCTTCTTACTTCTTGCTGGTGTAACACCGATCAGAGGATGCTTACAGCAGGGGATGGATTTGTACTGTACATGCAGAATAGAAACAAGCATTTAGCTGTGTGAGTCAGCCTCCAGCCGTCTCCCTTAGCCAATCTGCTTCTTGGCTCAACGTCCTTGTCAGCAAGACGCTTTTGGAAAAAAAAGGCATCTGCTGACTCTCCCAGGTGAGGAGAGTTACTGTGATCCCACTGGAGGTTTCACACAGGCCCGGGGCATTTTGACATCAAAAGTATTCTCTTTCTAATTTGTAAAACCCCCTACATTCATTTTGTATATTTTACTACAACAGTGTGTTGTTACATAGTGATTTTTAACCATATTCTGACCTATTTATTCTCAGATCAGAATAAGGATATTTTGAATCAAGGGCACCCACCTGTCCTTCTTTCCTCTTTGACAGGCTAAGTTACTGATGTGTCAGCACTGTTATTGATTGAGAAGCTGAATATTTCATGATAGTAATTGGAGCTATCTGGTTTGCAACACTTGCACTAAAGTAAACCTAAATTCTGAATCGTCTACATAGTGTTGGAATCCAGAGACAGTTAAGAGCGGAATTTTATAGCACAAAACAACTGCAATGTATAACAACTGTGAGATCTTTCTTCGTTTGGAGGGGGTGTTTGTTCTTGGTGATGTTTTTATGTTGGACTGCTTGTTGCTGCAGCCTCAGTTTGTCTATGAATCAAAGCCCTTGATATCCACAGAACGCTAGAGGCGTAATAAGAGCTATTATGAATAATTAAGATGTTTGCAGAGTTCTCCTTTTTGGCTAGTCTTGGTGAATTTCTTCTGTTCATAACAAAAAATACTCTCCAAGGAAAGATACTGATCTGATGATACTTGATCCTAAAAGTACAAAAGAAACATGGTCATGGTCAGCAGGGGGCATCTCCACTGGCCTGCAATTGTATGTAAGCTTATCAGAATGACCCTACTTCTCGCTTGATTTATTACCTCAGTAAACAGTTTCTTAATGAGTTTATCAAACACTAGTTTCAAGTCGTCTTCCATACAACATGATGTTCCTTTTGTAAATTATTTAGAGTAAAATAGATGATAAAGGACAGTATGCTCTACCTCGTGACTGATAAGTCGTTACCAGGGCGTATCCTTGGCTTCGCAGTCAGATCCATTTAGGATAGAGGCAGCTCCACACTCTCATTCAAATATAGTTCAATTCTGGCTCCAAAAAAAGAAGATGGTGACGGC